GAGAGAGACAGAGAGAATGAGAGAGTGAAAATGAGAGTGAGAGGGAGAGTGGGAGTGAGAGAGAGAAGGAGAGGGAGAGGGAGAGGGAGAAGGAGAGGGAGAAGGAGAGGGAGAAGGAAAAAGAGAGAGAAGACAGAGAGAGAGAGAGAGAGAGAGAGAGAGAGAGAGAGAGAGAGAGAGAGAGAGAGAGAGAGAGAGAGAGAGAGAGAGAGAGGGAGAGAGAGAGTGAGAGAGAATGGGAGAGAGAGAGAGAGAGAGAGAGAGAGAGAGAGAGAGAGAGAGAGAGAGAGAGAGAGAGAGAGAGAGAGAGAGAGAGAGAGAAAATGGGAGAGAGAGAGAATGAGAGAGAGAGAGAAGGAAATAGAGAGAATGCAAGAGAGAGAGAATGAGAGAGAAAGAGAATGAGAGAAAGAGAATGAGGGAGAGAGAGAATGAGAGAGTGAAAGTGAGAGTGAGAGGGAGAGTGGGAGTGAGAGAGAGAAGGAGAGGGAGAGGGAGAAGGAGAGGGAGAAGGAGAGGGAGAAGGAAGGGAGAAGGAAAAAGAGAGAGAGAGAGAGAGAGAGAGAGAGAGAGAGAGAGAGAGAGAGAGAGAGAGAGAGAGAGAGAGAGAGAGAGAATGGGAGAGAGAGAGAGAGAGAGAGAGAGAGAGAGAGAGAGAGAGAGAGAGAGAGAGAGAGAGAGAGAGAGAGAGAGAGAAAGAGAGATAGAGAGAGATAGAGATAGATAGAAAGGGTGAGGGATGAGAGGAATGAGAGGAAGACGGAGAGGGACAAGGAGATGGAGAAAGGAGGGGGGGGGGAAGAGGGGAGAGGAGAGAGAGAAGGAGATGGAGATGGAGATGGAGAGTAAGAGAGGGAGAGAGATAGAGAGGGAGAAAGATTAAGAGAGGGAGAGAGACTGAGAAAGAGAATGAGAGGAAAGGAAAGAGGGAGGAAAAGGGGGAGGAAGAGGAGAGGAGAGAAAAGAAGAAAGAGTAAAGGAGAGACGATGAAAGAAGATGAGATGAGAAGAGAAGAAAAATCAAAAGGAAAAAATACAGAGAAAAGAAAGTGAAGGAGAAAGAAGTTCTGTGAACGTGAGCGCCACCGTACAGGAAATACTACAGTTCAAGAGCGTCGATCAAAGGGTAATCAAGAAAAGAAGAAAAAAAACCTTCCGTAATTTTGCAGCTGAAGAAGCACATAATGATTGTTCAGGCCGCAAAAAAAACTGCCCAATGGCACAGAAAGCCACAAGAATTCAGGACTCGGTGGTTGGCCAGTGACCTTCCGTTCACCTTGCCGTCCGCGTTTCAGTCTTCTTGGTTTAGTGCCCGACTTTTCGTCTTCTTTAGCTAATATCACAGGCTCTTAGCAAGTATTAGATATCTTGCGTATATCCGTCACAATTCGGTTGCAACTGCCACAGTGGAATTATTGCTACTTTCAACAGTCCCATGCGAATTCTTGGCCAAATAAGAGGCTTCCCGCAACAGCACAAGCGGGACAGAATTAGTGATGCCTTTGGTAGTGTGGCTGCGTGTGTCCGCAAAGCATTCTTTACTTTTTTCAAATTAACCCTCCGATCATCTGGAGCGATTGCTTTTTAGATTCCAGCTTATATCTAAGGAAAAATCTTACTGTGTGCCTATTACAAGCCCCGTGGCAAAGACTAGGACCTGATAGAATGACCTCGATGTTATAGCACACCAGTATTACAGTGCGTCGCCAGTGATATGCGAAAAGTAGGTGACATGAACCAGCGCGTAGTCAGCATCAGCCTCGTTGATTTCCAGGCTTTTCACCGGATCTCGTCATCAGTGACCTCCCCGAGAGCACAGTCAATGGCCGTAGCATGGGAACAGTGAGGTTTTCAGATCATTATGACTTGCTGAACATAATTAACCTGAGAGTCATTCAGAAGGAGACACTTTCATTTGGAAATGGAACGAAGGCTTATAACCTACATACACATACAAACACTCTGTTGACCTTCTCGCAACTCCTCTTGCCGGAACTATTTTGGCCAGACGAAAATGTCTGTTTCGAAATATGTAAGAGTGCCTGTAATGTAGAAACAAGAAGAAAACTCAAAAATATTTCCAGAAACTTGCAAAACACATTACGCTCTTGTTGATCATAGCCATAATGAGAAGAAGTTTCTTTGAGGGTTACACCTAATTAGATCAGCATCCGATCTGTTCTCCCAACTAACCACTAATTGGAGCAAAACCCTTGATGCTACCAAAGAAACTTACGCCATTGCTTGGGAGGCATTGCCAGTGCTTTCGATAGAGTTTGGCACAAGGGGATTATTTGCAAACTATTCCGGCATTAATGGGCACCTGATGCTGATTGGAGACTACCTGCGAGAAAGAACTCTGTAGTGAAACAGAGAGAAAAGCAGAGAAGAGAAGAGAAGAGAAGAGAGGAAAAGAGCAGAAATAAAGGAGAGAAGAGAAGGAAAGGGAAGAGGAGGAAAGAAGAGAAGATAAGAAAAGAAATTAGAAGAGAAGATAAGAAAAGAAATTAGAAGAGAAGATAAGAAAAGAAATTAGAAGAGAAGAGAAGAGACGAAAAGAGACGAGAAGAGGAGAGGAGTGAGGAGGAGAGAAGAGAAGCGAAGCGAAGAGAAGAGAAGAGAAGAGAAATGAAGAGAAGAGAAGAAAAGGGAAGGGAAATGAGTGGAAGGGAAAAAATGAGAGAAAAATAGGCTGCTCAAATAGCATGCATACATCGTTATCTCACATCTAAAGGCACAGGTTGCTCCATGATTTACATCTCACACGTACCTCGATGTTATACTCTCCTCAGGTACGGCCTTTCTACCCGGCACCCATCCTGTCCCTACTCGACAGCCCATGACATCAACATTGCAGAACTCGAGCTGCAAGGAAGGGGATCGTCTACTTTCAATCTCAAAAGCACCACAGGGATATAACGGCGCTGTAGGTGTTCTACAAGACTGAATGACATAACTTTCCTCGCCTCTTCTCACTACGACCGAAAAAATACCAGGAGTCGAAGTCACTAGTTCGATTATCATTATTATCATTATTTTTATTGTATTTATCTATTTATTTTTTTTGGCGAGGACGGAAGATTTTCTCCACCCTTTTCCGTCAGAGTATTCCAGAGTGCGGAGTTACCTGATTGACTTGACTTCACAATCTCTTGACTTCTCTGTCTCTGTTTCATCATCTGGGGATTCGCGGAGATTGCAGTACGATTGCTGTTGAATTTCTCTTGTGATATTGCAATACCTTGGCAAGAACTAGTGACTTTTTTTTCTCCTATTCCATCTTCTCCCTCTGTTTCTTCTTCTCCCTCGTCTTCTTCTCCTTCTCCTTCTCCTTCTCTTCCTCGTGGACTGTGTAGCATGTCTGTGATATTGTGATTCCTAAATTCTAGCTAGTGTTTTGTCTCGATTAGAATAATATGTTTTTTTTAATGATAACATGTTATAAATATAGCAGACAGGCCACATATATTGCAAGTTGCTCGTTACCATAAAACGAACTCAAATTTAAAAAAGGAAGAGAGAGAAAGGGAGAGGGAGAGGAAGAGGGAGAGGAAGAGGAAGAGGGAGAGGGAGAGGGAGAGGAAGAAGAAGAGGGAGAGGGAGAGGGAGGGAAGAAAGGAAGGAGAGAAGGAAGGAAGGAGAGACGGAAGGAAGGAGAGACGGAAGGAAGGAGAGAAGGAAGGAAGGAGAGAAGGAATGAGAGAAGGAGAGAAGGAAGGAGAGAAGGAAGGGGAGAAGGAGAGAAGAAAGTAAGGAGAGAAGGAGAGAAGGAAGGAGAGGAGGAAGGGGAGAAGGAGAGAAGGAGAGAAGGAAGGAGGGAAGGAAGCAGAGAAGGAAGCAGAGAAGGAGAGAAGGAGAGAAGGAGAGAAGGAGAGAAGGAGAGAAGGAGAGAAGGAGAGAAGGAGAGAAGGAGAGAAGGAGAGGAGGAGAGAAGGAGAGAAGGAGAGAAGGAGAGAAGGAGAGAAGAGAGAAGGAGAGAAGGAGAGAAGGAGAGAGAGAGAGAGAGAGAGAGAGAGAGAGAGAGAGAGAGAGAGAGAGAGAGAGAGAGAGAGAGAGAGAGAGAGAGAGAGAGAAGGAAAAAGGAACAAGAAAAAGGTGAAGAATGGGTGTGGGAGAAGGAGGGGGAAGGAGAAGAAGAAGGAAAAAAGAGTTAGAGAGAGAGAGAGTTAGAGAGAGAGAGTTAGAGAGAGAGAGTTAGAGACAGAGAGAGAAAAGGAAGGAAAGAGGAAAGAAGTAGAGAGAGGGAAGAGAAGAGAGGAGAGAAAAGATGGGTAGATGAGAGATTGAGGAGAGGAGAGAGAAAGGAGAGAGAGGAGAAGAAAGAGAGAAAGGAGAGGAAAGGGAGAGAGGAAAGGAAAGAGAGAGAGGAGAGGAGAGAAAGAGAGAGGAGAGGAGAGAAAGAAAGAGGAGAGGAGAGAAAGAAAGATGAGAGGAGAGATAGAGAGAAGGAAAGGAGAGGAGATGAGGGAGAGTCTATAGGAAAGGAGACGAAGGAAGAGGAGAGGAAAGGAAAGAGAGAGAGAGAGGAGAGGAGAGAAAGATTGAGGAGAGGAGAGACAGAGAGAAGAAGGAGAGGAGAGGAGAGAAGGGGGAGACTAGAAGAGAGGAGAGGAAAGAATAGAGAGAAAAGGGATAGATAGACAGATAGACATATTTGAAACTGGGACAAGTAACGAGATCAAAGAAAAATTAAAGAATTAAAGAAAAAAAAGTAAAAAAAAAATATTGCCTCCAATCTATATAGATTTATCATATCAACCAATTTATAATTAGCAAAGAGATAACATATCCCTTTTCACGCCTTTTCACTCATTCAATTTTGCAGCTATCGGGCTAAAATTGCAGCGTTGAAGAAGAGGAAAAAATCATGCCGTTTATTCATCTTGAAAAGGAAGAAAATCTGGGGTATGTGAGCGAGCATGCAATGTGCAGTTGCAACATTCTTTTGTGGGAGATTTTTGGTGCCAAGGAAGGTGGAAGCTGGGGGGGAGGGATATGTG